AAACTGCTTATGCTTTTGGCTTCAGGGGAGAGTGGAAGACTTTCAAACCCTGATCTGATATTTCCTTAAAACTGCAGCAATGTATTCTCCTCGTCTGGTTTTATGCGTTGTTGCTCCTAGCAGTGGCTGTATTTTATCAGTTTAGAAAGCACTTCAGAGTCTTTCGGAATAAAAAGATTGTTTGGGGGGAAGTTGGAAAAATGTCAGTAGAAAGGATGAAATATTGTCCCACGCCCTTGCTTTGCTGAACAGAGAGTCTTTTCTTCTAGTGTTGGTTTAGGACTTAATCCCGCAAGGTCCTGTCTGTCAGCAAATAAAATCAGGTTTAAGAGGATGAAAAACCATCCTGGAAATCACTAGAAACTATTTTGTTAGCAAGAAATTGAGGAAGTGCTTAAGTTCTCCAATAGACTGGGACCAGAGTACTCAGCGCCCTGCAGAAATGAGCCTTCAGTTCTTAGAACCATTGTGTCCAGAACAGCCATTCATTAAGGCTTTGTGCAGAGAGGCTGAATTTCACTCACTTGGAAGATATTCTTTATAAGCCCCCGAGACACAGACTCTTTGGTTGATTTGGAAAATAAAATGATTAATAGCATTTTACAAGGTTTTCCACTAAACAGTTTTCACTTAAAGGCTGTCACAAGCTAAAGAAATTGTAGGAATAGTGTCAATCTGATGACATAGTGGCAATAAATCCTATTGTACTGGATTACGTTTTTACTCATTAAAATGCTTTGACCTATTGTCATCCAAGTAGAACCACATTCCACTGGCTGTTCAGAAGGTTCTGATTTCACTCTTGATTGTTACCAGGGCAACTGCACCTCAATCCAAAACTGCTGCACCAATCATTTAACTTGATTTGAATAGACTCTTGTAGATAAAACAAAGACCTAAGTATTCATTCTCATTGAAAAAGTCAAAATCCAATCTTTCTGAGACGTGAATAACAGAAACTCAGAGGAGTTATTTCAGCAATATTTGTTGGAGATTTTTGTGTGTTTGCTTGTTTTGTTTTGTTTTCCAGGAAGCACTAATTGCCTCATTTATTTGGGGAATAGCTAGCTGTGTGATAAAATGCCATGAAAAGATGAATATTCTTAGCCTATCCAATGCAAGAGTGCACTAGAAATCTCACCACAGACCACTGCTGGAAAGAGTTCTCACTCAGTTTTGGAAAAGTAAAAGAATTTTCATTAATAGTCAAACAGCTGGTTAATGCTTGTGAGTGGAAATAGGGATGTTTGAATTTTCCCACTGAGATTTCTGGTGGAAAGCAGAAATGTGTTTTATGGCATCTTCTTTTAGAAATATTAAGTTTGTATATCAATTCATTTGAGCTATCTTTGAGTGGGAAATTGCCAGTTTGAAAACATGTACACTCTTCCAGAGCTGCTAAGGATCAGTGCTTCTTGGAGAAAAAAACTGACCATCTGGCCATGTCAGAAATCAAACCTGTAACATTAGATCAGTTCTGATCAGAACCAGGATACAGTCTTGCAGAGAAACAAGATGATGCTGGAGCTGCAACACAAAATCTATGCTCTTAAACTGAGGTACACGTGAGGTACACATACATAGATGCCATTCTGAAAACAGCTTGAGAGAGAATATTTTAAAATGAACTGGAGATGCTTTGTGTTCAAAGTTGCCTCACAAGTGGAGATGCCTTTAGTTCTTATATATGGAAAATTTCCAGCTAGTTTTACTCTTTTACCCTAATGAGTCTTCATTTCACATTCTGCGGTCAGACCGTGCCTTGCTTTTCCTTTGGAGTGCAGGAAAACCTGTCTGAAAAATCATTCACTGAAACTACTTCTGCTCAATTTGTTTCCCAGACTGTTGATTTTTATCAAATGTCAATTTTTAGACCTCCTCAGCCTAGCACTTACCTGCCATCCTCTACCATGTTGACAGCAAAGAGAAACCAAAAATGCAATGCTTCCTCAGCTGAATCCTTCCACAGGAAATTAAGGACTGAAACTCTCTTTGCTGTTCCAATTCTCCAATCCAGCATGCCACCACAAATCACATTTGAGTAGCTGAAGCATATTCTCCCGTCTGCACTCTGAAAACAGGACTTTTAGCTGCTTTAGAAACAGGAACCATTGTTACCATCATGACTGCAAACTACAGAAAATGAACAAGTTCCCCATGAAAAGCAGCTCAACGGTTTTTGGGTTGCAGCATTCCTTCCTGCTAGACAGGATGGACCAGCAGTTAAAGAATTGGATTAAGTTCCTGTCCCAGTTTAAGAAGCAAATAGAAATCTGAGGTTGTTTTCTGTTTATTTGACTTATTTGTATTTATCATCTGGCATTTTAATTGCACAGCAAGTTATGGAAATGGATATCCTGTTCCCAAGAACAGTTTCATACTCATAGGAGAAATGCTGGGGAGGAAAGGTAACTAATAAAACAAAAAAGGACAAGGCATCAACCGATCTAGAGAATAATCTTCTTACCAGAAGATACAAAATGAAGTGAATCAGCAGTGTCCTGCTGAAAGGCAGAAACTTTCCCAGTGTGAAGTGGTTTCCAACTGATCTTTCCAAGGACTATTCAGAATCCCTTGTGCCAAAAGGGTGTCTCAGAGATTTCAGCCCCCTTGTCTAGTAACATTTCATTTGCAAAAGGTTGCATCCTGAGAAACAGCTTCCTGAACAAATGACTGATACATCAGTTCCGGATCTTTCTTCCTCCAGAAGGAAAACATATAGAAATCTTGGTAAGAATTGAACTTGTATTTCTGATATTTCTTTCCTTCACTTGTGGTGCTGAGTCATCATAGCTGCACTGATGAAATATGTCTAACCTATGGATTGCTTGAATATTGCCTGAATTTAGCAAGTGCGCTGCTGGTTTACTCTGACTGATCAACTGACATTTGCTAAGCAGTGCTAAGCAATTTAACAAAATGTACTATAATCCTTGCTTTTGGCAGTACATATCTCTAGGGAGCATGCATGACTTAGTGGAAACAGCCTTCTTGTATCAGTCTATTCACACCCTTTTGTAAGAGTAGGGAAACAAGTGTATCAGGATGTTTGCCTGCTCCCATTTCAAAAATGCCCATCAATATTGTAGAATGTGTCATGTAAATGCCTCAAGCCTTCTTTGCATTACTTTAAATCACCTCAGCAAAAGGAAACAAAAGAGAAAGCAAGAGGAAGATGCAAAAGTGCTGGGAGACCAATTAGTACAGTCTCTGCAGATAACGAAAAATAATTAATTTTCCCCCTTTCCTTCTTTCAGTGACTAATTTCTGTGACTGTAATAAGATGTTAGGGATGTGCATCCTCACTTCTTGTCCATCTCCTAAAGTCACTTGAAAAAGCATTCACCTCTGCATTCTGGTTCTGGCAGGAAAGCTTAGAATAAAAATACAGAAAACACAATCTGTAAAACATTTGTTTTGTGCTCAATTAAAAGCTTGCAGTCATTCTGTATGACCACAAGTGTGTCAGAAGTAATATGAAACACCAGTTTGAATGCTCCCAGGAGCTCAGGCAACCAGAGGAAAGGAAAGGAGATGCAATCTAAGGGCTTTTGAAGTATTTTTGCAATATGGCAATGAGGACAAACTGCCCTGAGACCACCCCTAAGATGGATCACCTCTATCTTTTTTCCAGGCTCAGAGCACTATGGTGGCTACTTGTTGCAGGAGGAGAGTTTCCTTCCTAACCTATGGCAACAAGCACAAGTATTAGAGGAAGTTTACCAACAGGAGGAAGCTAATGTAATCAAATCCCTGGCATTGCAAGCCATGCAGTGAGTAGCATAACAATTGTATTGTCTTAATCATCTTTCCACCATGTTCTATCCACTGGGTTAGTGTTACTAGACAGCTTATCTTCCACAGGCACTCCATGAGAGTGGGAATGAAAATAGTAAGGAAAGGAAACCCTACCAACTAGCTTGCCTTCTACATGACCTTCCTGGAGCCTCAACCTACTCAGAAAAACTTTTTTAGTTTTCACTACAGTTTGAAATGTTTATCCAGGACTTAGAAATACAGAAACAGGGTTATATCTCATGGGGATAAAATAATTATTCTTTGCTTACTTTTGCTTGTAGATTCTTATAACAAACCAGCTTCTCTCATCAGACTCATTGCAGATATAGTTTTGTGCACAAATTAATACGTGATCTTGCACACAGCTACTCAGCCCTAATAAAACTGTGTGCATTCCTGTATTTCATGCCTTCATACTAGGCCCCTCTTCCCACAATAGCTCTAAAAAACTGGTTGCCCAGACCAGACTCATAAGGCAAGCTTTGGACCAGAACGATTTCTTCTGACTCACACTCATTTTAGCCAACATTTCTCATAGTCTGTAACCTTCAATTTCCTCTGGTATTAGCTGAAAGTGCCTCTGCTGGTCTGCCCTCCTAACTGAAAAATTCCCGCGGTCGGTTCTTCTGCACCTTTGCTTTGTTCCTCCTCCGGTAATGACAAGTTGGAAAAACCCACCAGAAATGGACAGCCAGGAACAGAGGAATGTAGGAATTGCCAATGTGGATCAGACCCACAGTCTGTCTGGTTCTGTATCCTGTCTCCACCACGGGCTAATACCAAATGCTCCAGGAGAAGGTGTAAGAGCCCTGCAATAGGCAGCTTTGGAAGAGCTTCCCTCCTCAAACAAGTTCTCATCCTGCTCTTCAGTAATTAGAGGCTGGACTCAGCCCTGAAATTACACGGCTTAATATCCTTCCCAAGCATGTCTCTGTACAAGCACTGTAGGTCTGCCCGTATTTAATATTCAAATGAACACAAAGTCTCCTGAATTTCTGTGTTGTAGAGAACAATGTTTCCAAACAACAGCTAACAAGCTGCCAGGATACAATGCAAAACACACTTCCCGTGGAACAAGATAAACTGTTTATTCGCATACAGGTCATTTAGTAAGTTTAAAACTCTGTGAGGTAACAATTTCTCTTTACATGTATACACACACACAGACAAGCATAATTCAGGAAATCAGAAATGGGTTTTACCTTAATATCTGCTGAGATCTGAAAGAATCTCTGCTTCACTCCCTCCTTTTTTCTCTCTCCCTCTCTTGCATGGCTGGACTGACAGGTTGGCAGAGCTGAGAACTACAGGTTGGGTTTGTTTTTTTAGGCACAACTCCTCCCCCTCTCAAAGAGAGAAAAAAAATGCAAGACAGCTTGGGAAAAGTTCACAGAAAATCCCATCCTTTCAGCACATTAGATCTGACGAGAAATATACTACGTTTGGGAGTCCAGCAGTTTTCCTATTATTTTTTTTTTCCTCAAAAAGGCTCAAAGTCTACTTTGCAATAACTATGAAGCAAGCAGAGGATTTGCATCAGGAACTAATTTGACCCCAGATCTTTCCCATGTCTCTGATAACTGATCCAACAGATAATTACAGCCCCTTTCAGACAGCCTCGACAACAATTTCTGTAGAAGTGGAAATGGATTTTACAAACAGCACAAATGTCTTTGGGCCTCAGACTTTATCTTTGCATAAAAGCCACCGGCAGACATCTGACATCCTCCTTTTCCTCCCAGACTCTTCTGCTCCTGCTAACCTGCCTGCACTTGCAGCAGAAAACAGGTTATTTTAAACTCCTGCTTCACTCTGTCCTTTGACTTGGTTGCTGGCTTGTCACTGTCTCTTGAAACAGTGATCCCTGCTGGGTATCCCAAAGAGATCTGGGAGAGTCCTTTCGCAGGCCTCACTGGCCATGGAAGTAAGAACAATGTAAAAGAGGGCACATACAGCACAGGGCAGTGCTGTCACAGCTGTGTGCTTCCACTGGCCTTTACCAGTGTTTTGGCCCACCTAAAGGTTATATTTTCCTGGAAACATCAATTATTTTTTTAAAGTTAGCTAATTAGAGTGTCACACCCAAGATGCAGATAGTGTTCTTTCCTTGATCCTATTAATAGGGCCTTCAGATTAGGGCACTATCAAAGAAGCTCAGCCTGCTCCCATTGCTGTGTGCCTGTATGCTGTGGATGTGGAGACCCATGTGCAGAGACATTTGTTATTAAGTGATAAGAAGAAGGAATCAAGAAGTTTATGGCTGGTGTTGAAACATCCTCTGCATTTCTACTTTCCTGTAATCGATCAAAAGGATTGAGAGGCAAGTCTCTTCTGTGCTATAATGTTTTTCTTAGGGTGGCAGTTTTGGCACAAATCTGTAATTTCCACAGCCTGCTCTCTGCAGAGTAGCTGTCACTTCCTTACCCTGCTGTTTCAAGCAGACATACAGTAGACTAATGACAGTCATCTGCATAAATTTGCATCATAGACTCCTCGAATAGAATCCGTATCTCCTCTGGGTCAGATTTGCAGCTGGTTTATAACAATGAAGTCTCCTAGACTTCATTTACCTGCGTCACTACGGCGAGCATTACAGCATTCAGCGTGCTGATAAGCAACAGCTCCACAAAGCCATAAGGCTTCCAAAACTTTTGGGAAATAAAAACAGCCAGTTTAATTCAACATTGCAGTGAACTTGATTATAGGTGAATTCAAAGAGCACACACAAAGTCAGTATGACATCATATGCAAAAATGTCTGGTTGCATGTCTCACTAGCTAAACTTCTTCACTATTTCCTATGCCAGGGAAGTGCTATGCTCATCATTCCAGAACCATCTTCTCAGTTCCTCGGTTCCTCTCCTCAGTTTCTTACAGAATGGATTTTTGTTCAGGATCTGAATCTTTTATCAGGCAACTGTTCTCAATCTTGTTCAGGTCCCTACTTAAGATTTTCAGGGAGATAACATAAATGTAAGAAGTGTTTCCTGACAGTAGAGCAGGCTAACTGAATCCAGGTAGAACTGGCCATAGCCAGCCCCAAAGTTCAGCAATAGTGAACCATAGCTGAATGCACCAGTGCCTGCTGAGTGCCTCTATGAAGTGGGAAACTGTTCTTAAGGTTACAGCATTGTGAAGACCTTCATGTTTTTGCCTCAATTTCTGATAGATAGGGTGGAGATAAGAATGTTATCAGCATTAATTGCATACCAGGCTCAGCTTTATAGTATCAAGGGTAGATTTACTAGCAGAGCTATCAAGTTGTAGCTTGCTTTGGCACTCCTACATGACAGCCTTCTCAGTCCTCCCTTCTCAGCATTATGAGGCTAGAGATCTGCATCCTTTGCAACTTGCAGAATGCTTAAGGAAACAGCGTAGATCCAAAGAAGTTTATTTTGACTGCCCCAACAGCTTGGTGCCAGGAGCTCAAACATGCCCATTAAAGCACTCCTGCTTTACTTCTGGCATGTTGATCCCACATGGTCTGGCCAGCCTGTGGAAGAGGAGAGAATGTGCCAATCTTCAGCTATAGCTTCCTGCTCAGTCCCTGTCCAGTCCCTGCAAGCTGGGAGTGTGGTGAAACACTTTGTATGGAACACTTTACAGTCTCCCTACCCCTTCTTTACAAGGCTGTGTTTATCCAGGGAGCTAAGGGTACATGCAATCCAAGAACTGGCCCACCACTCTTAGCACACAATATTGCTACAAGAGTTTAAAAACAGTCAATAAATGCACTTCAATTAAATACTAAGTGAGGTCAGGTTTCTCGTTTTTCCTGTTTAACTACCAAGTTGCAAGGCAGTCTAATAAAGGGCTCTCAGAGCTCAGTTTATTACAGGATCAGAAAGGCTACAAAATTGCATAAACTTTGGATCATCATTCTCAATTAGTTACACTCCCTTTAAATAGGAAAAAAAAAAAAAAATAGAGCAAAGAGCATGTCACATAATGTAAGAATCTAATCCAAAATTTCTTGATGCCCATTACAAGATTTCCATGGCTTTATACTGACAATGAATCAATACAACTAATATAATATTACTGTTGATGTTAGAGTACTGTTTCCTGCTGATCTTCAGTTTGGTTTCATATGCCCTGCTGCTCTGTGGTGCTCACAAATCATCTGATACAAATACAACAGATACAAATAGTCCTTTGTTTCTGCAGGTATCTTCATCAGGTATGGCTGAACAGATACCACTGGAGTAAAGGAGCAAAAGGGAAAAAAAACATTCCAGCTCCCTGCTTTTGGCTTTGGGGAGAGGGGATCACACAAGAAGCAGTGCAGGGCTCACAAATCCATGTCCATTCCCTTAAACTGCAGGCTGCCTATTTTAGAGTAACTCCGTTGTTCTAAATTTCCACTCACTCAAAGATCAGATTCTCTTTTTATAACCTGTAAACTGCAGGTGCTTAAAGTTTGCTGGGAGGGTGTGAAATTCTCTGCAGAAAAGAACAGCATATAGAACAAACTTTTAGACTGGTGGTCCTAAATTAGCCCAAAAGTTCCTGTCAACTTAGAGGGCATAGATGAAGCCCTGTGGATGTCACAGAGCCACTTGTAGCATTACTCTGACAGGACATTCAGGCTACTGGGAACTAGAGAAGTGGTGTAGTCCTCTCTCATGCTGTTGCACAGGGAGAATATTTCAGTCTGGGGACTGAATAATTCACCAAGAAATCAGCTGGCCAGTGTGGAAATAATTTTAAATGAACTGAGCCCTTAGGTATTAAATTAACTGCATCTCTGGGGAAGGATGTGGATTATTGCAGCTGAATGAAGCCCTTATTTATCAGATGGAAAAGGTTAATGTCATTTCCTTTCCTTTCCTCCATGGTTTTTCTTACCACATCACCATTTATGGATAGCATGAGGTGCAGACAGTGAAAGAACATGTGCTTGATTGCTTAAATGACCAGAGCTGTTACTTTAATGGGGGAAGGGGGATAAGAAATTAAGACTTCTTCTGGTTTCCTGGGAGGAATTACAGGGCTGGGAAACATAAAACACTGAAGAAAGGAAATGGGCTTGTGCAGCACCTGGTCTTTGATTTGACATTCAAGAGTACCTAACTGAATGAGAGAATTTTTGCATTCTCATCTATTGTGCATACATAATAACAACCAGGATCAAACTAATCTAATATCCTTACTTCATACTTCATAAGGAGAGAATTAAGAAAGGTCATTTTTTTCCCCTCCTTAATTGAGTTTAAATACAGTTAAATTAAGTTCTACTAATAAAGAGTCTATGATTTTTCTAATTTGCCTCTGGAGTTTCAATAGCTGTTGACCTAAAGATAAATATCATAACAGTTCAGCTATCAATTACATGCTTTACTAATGATATCAACAAGGTAATTCTAATACCAGTTATGGAGACAATTTCCACAGTAATAAGACTGAGAGCACTGAAAGCTTATATTAAGAGAAGAAAACTCGTTTGGTTATAAAAGACTCAAGAGACACAAGTTTATTTCCCTGTCTCAAGCACAATATGCACTTATGCAAGCAAAATTAAGGTTAACTTGTATCTCTTAATAACAAAAGTAACAAAAATGGATCTACAACACACTGTCTGGGGTCAAAGTTCAAGAGAAGGATAAGCATGTGTAACCTCCTTACTACCTGTAGAAGCCTTACTATCCACCAAATGAAATCCAGATTGAGGGCAGAACATCTGTTTATTTGCTGGATAAATCACAGATCAACTTTCTGCCCCAATTTCTTGTATGTGAAATGGAGTCAGAGGCATTACCCTACCTTGCAGAGGTGCCGTAAGGACAAAAAATTAATATTTGTTGGCACTGCAATGGGGATAGCTAATTCCAGCTCTGAATGAAATGAGGAGAAGGATATCCATTGACTTATATGAGATTGAGAGTAAACCCTTATTCATTTTACATTAGCCACTGAACAGCCATTTGAGGATAACATTGAATAACTATTAATACTTGTGTAGTTAAGATCAGCATCTAAGTTATAATGGAGTAAATTAATGTATGTCTCTAAGGCAACAACAGTGTGACTATTGAGCTGGTTTCATGAGGTGAGCAATTGCAGCATGTGAAAAGAAGCATATATAGAAGCTGAGTGCATGTGGTCTGATCTTTTTTTTCCTGACCACAAAGGAACAGCTTTACTGGATGACCAAGCAGCAAGATACTACAGCAAATGGTCTTTTGCATAAAGCCAACCTCGACTTTTCTGTAATAGCTGTGCAAATATAATCACACTTGTAAATTAAATGCTACTCTCCTGAGCTGGAGCATTATACATGTTCATTGAGATGGAATCCCTGTCAATTCATTTTTTTAACTCAGTATTCATG